CCAGCTTCAGGAGGGGTGGGTCTTCAGTATTAACTCAGATGAGAAGATCATGTGCAATAATTATTTAATGCTTACCATTGAATTTTTAATGGTATCTTTCACATGAAATAATATGCCTCTAACTATTAATTATGCACCAGGACAGGAGAATTTATGTTGTCCAAGTTCTAACATTCTCTAGAACAAGTAACTCACTTTACTTGTATTAGCCCATTATCAATAAGTGTAAATATTGCATTTATGTGTAGATAGAACTGAAATAACAGTATTTGTCATACTTCTGAGATGCATGGTTTATCTGGCATAGTGCACTGAGCAGTTTATTACTGAGGTCTGCATCAGTCAACTGAACAGGCCTTCATCAACTGTTCATGATACCCAGGACCTAAGAAGGTTTCCTTTCAGAGTATGGAGCCCTGCATATCATCTCTTAATTGTTAGATGTGTTTTGAAAGAAATAGAATTGATTTGGTTACTGGTTTTGTCTCTGGAGTGGAGACGGACAAAACAGAATGGACTCACACTGTTTAGATTAACTAAAATGGATGGATTGCCAGCAAGATCATATTTCTTGTCTCCCATAGCAAATGTTTTTTTTTTTTTTCTTTCTTTTTTCTTTTTTGAGATGGAGTTTTGCTCTGTTACCTGCTCTGGAGTGCAGTGCTGTGATCCCAGCTCACTGCAACCTCCACCTCCTGGGTTCAAGCAGTTCTCCTGTCTCAGCCTCCCAAGTAGCTGGGATTACAGGCATAAACAACCATGCCCATCTAATTTTTGTACAGTCGAAGTGGGGTTTCACCATGTTGGCCAGGCTGGTCTTGAGCTCTTAACCTCAGGTGATCCACTCACCTCAGCCTCCCAAAATGCTGGGATTACAGGTGTGACCACTGTGCCCAGCCTGCTAGCTGTTCTTAAGTGCACTGAGTTCTGCTTTTGTTGAGCTTTAATGAATATCTGGTTCTTCTTTTTTTTGTGCAGTGTCAGCATTGTTTCAGTAATAAATACATTCTGAAATCTTAGAAACAGTTTTAATCACAGGAAAAGAAATAGTAATACTTCTTGTTTTATACTAATACTAGAGTTGTGTGAGAGTGGGGAGGGAAGGGGGATGTGAAGGGATGGGGAATGGGCAGAGAAACCAGCACTGTAAAGACCTGGACAATTAAGATGGCACATTTGGTTCAGGGAATGGGGAATTAAGTGTGGCGGCAACGCTTTTGAGAGACAGTAATTTGCTTGTATGGAATTTTGCCTGAGAGACCTCACTACAGTGTCTAGTAATGTTATCATCCATCACTGTCCCTGTCAGATAGTTTGGAATAGGTATGATGATCACAGTAACATCAAGCATAATATTTGATGAATTCTCACAAAATCACAGGCAGGTACCGCAGTTAACCCCATTTTATTTATGAAGGAAGCGATGAGGACATAGGGATTAAAAGTGACTTGCCCAAGCTCACGTGGATATTAAGCTGAGTCAGATGTAGGGACTGGTTTGATTCAATGCTTGCTGTTTTCATGAGCCCATGTATCGCTTCCCCTATGCAGTTAGGCAGGTAGGTGAAAGAAAAGCCCATGTTTCTCTCTAGTCACACACTTCGACTGACTGACTGTGTGTGGAGCTTGTACACCAAATTCTCCAGTGCTCTGGGTATTAACTGGGTATCCCAAAATGTTATTCTGACACTATCTGGAGCTGGCGCAGCCCCTACCACTTAGGTATTTAGTCCCGTGGGACTGCCCTCACTTCAGATGCCAATGGCAAGTACTAGGTTGTCACTTGTACTTTTGACCAACCTGTTACAAATCAGGGGTTCTCATGACCCCTTTCTTGGATTTAATCATTTGCTAGAACCGCTTACAGAACTCAGAAAAAGTTTATTTTCATTTTTTCTAAGAGACAGGGTCTCATTTTGTTGCCCAGGCTGGTGTGCAGTGGTGTAGTCATAGCTGACTGCAGCCTCAACTGGCTGGGCCCAAGTGATCCTCCCCCCCTCCCTAGTAGCTGAGACGACATGCCTGCACTACCACATCTGGCTAATTTCTTTTATATTTTTGTAGAGATGAGGTCTTGTTTTGTTGCCCAGGCTGGCCACAAATTCCTTGGCCCAAGCGATCCTCCCACCTCAGTCACTTAAAGTCCTGGGATTACAGATGTGAGCCACTACATCTGGTCAGTTTGTTTTCTATTCTTGGTTCACTTTAAAGGGTCCATTTCTCAGAAACAGCCAGCGAGAGAGATGTGCATGCTGGGTGCAGTGGCTCACACCTGTGATTCCAGCACTTCAGGAGGTCGAGTTGGGAGGATTGCTTAAAGGCAGGAGTTTGAGATCAGCCTGGGCAACATGGTGAAACCCTGTCTCTCTAAAAAATACAAAAATTAGCCAAGTTCGGTGATGTGCACCTGGTATCCCAGCTACGCAGGAGGCTGAGGCAGGAGAATCCCTTGAAGCCAGGATGCAGAGGTAGCAGTGAGTTGAGATCACACTACTGCACTCCAGCCTGGGCTACTGAGTGAGATTTTGTCTCAAAAAATAAATGAAAATAAATAAATAACTAGGTGTGGTGGTGTGCACCTGTAGTTCCAGCTACTAGCAAAGCTGAGGTGAGGATGCCTTGAGCTGGGGACTGGGGAAGCTTAGGTTGCAGTGAGCTGAGATTGTGCCACTGCACTCTAGCCTGGACAAAAGAGCCAGACCCTGTCTTAAAAAAAAAAAAAAGAAAGAAAAAAAGGAAAGGGAGAAACAAATGAAAGAAAGATGGGAGCCCAGGGGAATGTAAGTGGGAGGGGCACAGAGCTTCCATGCCCTCTGTTCAACATGCCACCCTCCCAGCATGTCCTGTTTTCAGCAGCCCCCTGTTGTTCAGGGTGTTTATGGAGGCTCTATTACGTAAACATGACTGATAAAATCCTCTGCCATTGGTGATTAAGTCAATCCCCAGCCCCTCTCGCCTCCTGGAGTTCAGCAGGTGAGGCTGAAAGTTCCAAGCCTCTAATCATGTGGTTGCTTTCTCTGGCAATCAGCCCTCCTCCTAAAGAAATCCAGGAGCGTGCAGCGACCAAGTCATCTCAGGCATATCCCCAAATGCATTCTTAGCATGCCGGAGATCCCAAAGTTCTTAGAGGCTCTTGTGTTAAAAAGCTGAGACCAAGACCAAATATTGAAACGAAAGATACTCCTATCACCTCTATCACTGAGGTCTTTATAAGCTTTAGAAGCTCTGTGCCAGAAACCAGGGACAGAGACCAAATATATATTTCTTTTCTTTTTTTGAGACAGAATCTCCCTGTGTCATCCAGGCTGGAGCGCAGTGATATGATCATAGCTCACTATAGCTTTGACCTCCCGAGCTCAAGCGATCTTCCCACCTCAGCCTTCAAAGTAGCTGAGACTAAATATGCATGTCACCCATGCCCAGCTAATTTTTGTAGAGACAAGATTTAGTTATGTCACCCAGGCTGATCTCAAACTCCTGGGCTAAAGCCATTATCTCACCTCAGCCTCTCAAGTAGCTGGGACTGCAGGCGCACACCACCCTGTCTGACTAGTATTTATGTATACTTTTGTAGAGGTGGGGTCTCACTATGTTGTCCAGGCTAGTTTCAAACTCTAGGTCTCACTGCAAACTCTGCCTCCCGGGTGTAAGCAATTCTCCTGCCTCAGTCTCCCAAGTAGCTGGGATTACAGGTGCCTGCCACCGCACCTGGCTAATTTTGTATTTTTTAGTAGAGACAGGGTTTCAGGATGTTGGAGGGCTAGTCTCAAACCCTTGACCTCAGGTGATCCACCCACCTCAGCCTCCCAAAGTGCTGGGATTATAGGCATGAGCCATCTCGCCCGGCCAATTTTATTCTTAATATGTAATGAGTAATAAATATTAAAAAAATATTTTTGTATTAGTTATATTAACTTGTAATGGTTTTATTGTTGATATATAATGAATAAAAATATTTTTTAAATTTCCTTTTATTTTTTAACTCTAATATAATTATTTATTTAAAGAAAAAGTCTTAGGAATCTTACATAAATTTAAAAACTATAATGGGATGCTAGACCCCAAAAGATTTAGAAGCATTACTCTGAGAACTTCTAGTTTAGAAATATTCAGAGTAAGCCACATACAACTTGCTACCTGATCTATTTTTTTTCTTTATTGTTTTAGGATATGGGTCTCACTCTGTCACCTAGGCTGGAGTGCAGTGGTGCAATCACAGGTCACTGCAGGCTTGCACTCCTGAGCTAAGGATCCTCCTGCCTCAGCCTCCTGAGTGGCTGGAACTGTAGCTATACATGATGACACCTGGTTAATTTTTAAATGTTTTCATACACATTGGATCTCACTTTGTTGGTCAGGCTGGTGTCAAACTCCTGGCCTCTAGTGCCTTTTCCACCCCTGCCTCCCATCCTAGAGGCATGATCCACCACAACGAGCACTTGTTCAATTTTCTAAAAAAAATAGAAATTTCTAAAGTAAGCCTGTGGCAGGAAGATAAACGTAAAAAACAGAAGAATACATTCTAATGATTTATTCCCACATATTCTTTTGACAGCAAGAACTTTTAGTAGATAGATTTTTTTACAAAGGCGAATAAACAATGTTTTACAGGTACTTCAAGACACACCGTAATATCCTCACTTCTCTGACATCAGTTCTTGGTTTACTTGACTATTGCTATCAGTATTTTGCTCCTCTGATCATTTTTATCAACTTTCCCACCTGTTAAGTTCTCTCCAAGGTATGTCATCTCTTGACATGCTGCTGGTGCACAGACATGGCCAGGGGCATCCTGTTATACATGTAAAATGCTTCCCTGATTTCTTTTTTATGCTCTGTCTCTTTGTTTTGTGTTTTTCTTACCTTTATTGTCAGAAACTCCAGAAAGTCACCTGTACTAATCTATTACCATTTACTTTATTTTTTAATTAATTTGCTTATATGGAATTTTCCCCAACAGACCTCATTACAATTTCTAACCTTTTTTTTTTCCGAGACAGGGTCTTGCTCCGTTGTCCAGGCCAGTGGGGCTATCCCAGCTGATTGCAGCCGTGACCTCCCCAGTTCAAGCTGTCCTCCCAGCTCAGCTTCCAAAATGGACGAGACTGTAGGTGCTTGCCACTATACCCAACCAGTACTTGGACTTTTCCTATATGTGGGTTCCAGAGGGCTGACTGCAAAACGTGAGTATGCATGAATTTGGGTATATGCAGAGATGAGGGGCTGAAACTAATCTCTGAATACTGAGGGATGGACTGTATATGTTTTACAGTCATGCTGTAGGACTCATATTGTTCCATAGCCTTGAAAGTGATAGTTTTAATGCCAAATAATTTTTAATTGAGTGGAATAATAATAATAAAAGCAGCTGGCCAGGTGTGGTGGATCACACCGGTAATGACAACACTTAGGGAGGCTGAGGCAGGAAGATGGCTTGAGGCCAAGAGTCTGAGACAGGCCTCGGTAACAAAGGGAGTCACCATCCCTACAGAAAAATACATGCATTAACCGAGTGTGGTGGCATGTGCCTGTACTTCCAGCTACTTGAGTCCAGGGAGTCCTCCAGCCTGGGTGACAGAGTGAGACCCTGTCTCAAAACAACAACAGACTGGCAGATAACATGAACTGATCTTTTACCAGGTGCCTATAAATACCATTGTTTAATTTCTTTGAACTGTTTCTTATTTTACTTAACCACTCTGTCTTAAATTGCTCCCAGATTTTCACTGGGTTTGTGCAGATGATCTTTTGTTTAGATTGAATTGTCTCCCACAGTATTTTCAGAGTGAGATTACCGTGTGTCATGGTGAGTGGACATTCTCATTGCCCTTGATGTAAACTGACAAGGTTTTGGGTGCCTTCCAGCTATAATCCCAGCACTTTGGGAGGCTAAGGCAGGAAGATTGCTTAAGGCCAGAAGTTGGAGGAGGCGGTAATAGAGACACTGCCTCTATTATTTTAAAAAATTGCCAAGCTTTACCTTGGAAGGCTTGTATACAATTTAAACACCCTTCCCCCCATAGTATAAGAAAGTGCCCATTTCACTGCATCTTTGCCAGCACGTGATATTATAATTTAATGTTTTTTTATTATTTAAATAGAGAAAAGACCTCATGTTGCTTTATTTATTTGTCACGTTTCAACATCTTTCCTTATGTTAGTTTATTAGCTCTATTTCTTTTCTGCCTGTAAATGGTCATCTTTGTTGTTTTGTTCTTTGAGACGGGGTCTTGCTCTGTCACCCAGGCTTGACTGTAGTGGCATAAATCATGGCTCACTGCAGCCCTGACCTCCCATGCTCAAACTACCCTCCCTCTTCAGCTTTCTGAGTAGCTTGGACCACAAGTGTGTGCCACCACACCCAGCTAATTTTTTTCTTTATTTTGGGTAGAGACAGGGTCTTGCTGTGTTGCCCAGGCCAGTCTCTAGCTCCTGGCCTCAAGCAATCCTCCTGTGTTGGCTTCTTAAGTTGCTGGAATTTCAGGCATGAGCCACCATGCCTGGCCTTGGCCAGTCCTATACTCTCTAGAGTTCTCTTTACTTTATGCTAGCCAATCTCGTTATGGTGTTGCTGTTATCATGAATAATTCTCTGTATTAAATTTCACCACTTTAAACTTCTGAGTGGTTTATGTCTCCTGATTGGACTCTATTACAGAGTTGATGCTAGGAAGGGTCCCAGGAGATAGATCAACCCACACAGATGGGATTTTGGCATAGGTTTGGTTATCTGAGGGGCAGTGCTGAGCTTTTTGCCAGTGGGAAATGGGTTGCTGGTGGTTTCCAGAAAGTGACCTTACAGTGACTCAGGCTACCACTTACTGTTGATTGTGGTGAAATGCCAGCAGAGGCACATGCTTTGGGAGCTAAGTTGTTGCTGCACTTGACCACTGTAATGACTGGTGTGGAAAGGGTCCTTTTGTATGTACTTGAGCAGGGGTCCCCAACCCCTGAGGCATGAAGCTGGAAGGAGTTACACAGCAGGAGGTGCGTGATGTCTAGTGAGGGAAGCTTCATCTGTATTTACAGCCACTTCCTGTTGCTCACATTCCCACCTGACCTCTGCCTTCTGTCAGATCAGCAGCAGCATTAGATTCTCTTAGGAGCATGAACCCTATTGCAAACCATGCATGCGAGGGATCTGGGTTGTGTGGTTTCTGTGAGAATCTAATGCCCGATGACCTGTAACTCTCTCCCATCACACTCAGATGGGACCATCTAGTCACAGGAAAACAAGCTTAACGTGCCTACTAATTCTACAATATGGTGAGTTCTATAATTATTTCGTTATATATCACAACGTAATAGTGGAAATAAAGTGCCAAATAAATGTCATGTGCTTGAACTTTTGGCTCTGCTCCTACCTCCTGACAGCCTCTCCAGGCCCAGAACTTTTTCCATGTCGGCCTCTACAGGCCAAGCTCATGGCTCACAGTGGCCTATTTAGGTGCATACCCTACCTCATGGTAGCCTCCTCAAATGAGGCTACTGCCTCATGGCAGCCTCCACAGGCCCAGGTTCATCATTACAGTGGCCTCTTTAGGCCCAGCTCCTGCCTCCCTGCCTTTTCTCCAGGCACAGAACTTTCTCAAGTCAACCTCACCAGGCCCAGCTCCTGCCTCTCATCGGTCTCCCAAGGGCAAGCTTTTGCTTCATGGCCACCTTCCAAGACCCATTTTCTGTTTTACGGCGGCCTCCTGAGGCCCCACTTCTGCCTCCTGGAAGCCTGTACCGGCCCAGCTCCTCCCTCACAGTGGCTTCCTTAGTCCCAGCTCCTGCTTCTGCATGACCTATCTGGGCCGAAAGTGTCCACAAGCCAGCCTCTCAAGACCCAGCTGTGCCTAGAGGACCAGCACCTGCCTCACATCTCTTTTGGCTCAGCTTCTGCCTAGCTCCTGGTGGCCTTTGTAGGCCCCAAACTGCCTCAAGTCAAGCTCTTCAGGCCCACCTTCAGCCTTCCGATGACCTGGACAGGCCCAGCTCTTGCCTCCCAGTGGCCTCTGCAGGCCTAGCTTTTGCCTCACAGGTATTCCTTGAACAGGTTTCTACTTGCCTCCTGGTAGCCTTGACAAGCCCAGGTCTTGCCTCACTCTAACCTCATTAGGACCAGCTCACCGTGGCCTCTCCAGACCCAGCATCTGTCCCCTGACAGACTGTCCAGGCCGAAACTTCTTCTAGTCACCCTCTTCAGGCACAGCTCCTGTCTCACACTGGACTCTAAGTACAGCTCATGCCTCTCGGCGGCCTCTTGGGGCCCAGTTCCTACATCTCTGTGGCCTCTCGAGACTGACAGATTTCTCAAATCTGCCATTCCAGGTCCAACTCCTGCCTCTAGTCGGCCCCGATAGGCCCAAACTCTGCCTCACAGCAGACACCCCAGGCCAAGCGTGTGCCTCACCACAGTGCCCCCAGGCCAAGCTCCTGCCTTTCAGCAGGCCCAGCAACTGCCTCCCAGTGGCCTGTGTAGGTGAAGCTCATGCATCACAGCGGCCATTCTGATCGAGGTTTTACTTTTTGGCAGTGTCTCCAGGCCCAGAACTTCCTGAAGTGGGTGTTTCCATGTCCAGCTCTTCCTCCCAGTTGCATCTCCAGGACCAACTCCTGCCTGACACCCTCCTTTGGATCAGCTCCTACACAGCTCTTGGTGGCCTTCGTAGGCCAAAAACTTTCTCAACTCAAGTTCCCCAGCAGAAACTTCTGAGGAGCAATGGCTTAAACAGGCATAGCTACTGGATGACAATAGACTCTCCAGGACCAACTCTTACCTCATGAAGGTTTTCCCTGTCAAAGCTCTTGCCGGCCTCCCAGCAGCATTGAGAGGCCCAGCTGCTGCCTAACCCTGACTTGATTAGGCCAAGCTCCTACCCACTAGGTGGCCTCTCCAGGCTCAAAACGTCCTCATGTGGGCTTGTTGTGGGCCAGCTCCTGCCTCCCAATGGCCCTCTTGGACCCCGTCAGCCTCTCCAGGAGACCCAGCCTCTGATCACTCCTGGCGGCATCCTCAGGCTTGGCTCCTACTCCTGGCCACGTCTACAGGCCCATGTCCTGCCTCCCGACAGCCTCTTTTGATTCGGCTCCTGACGAGCTGCCGGTGGCCTGGATAGGCCAAGCTACCCCTTGACAGTGTCCTCTCCGGGGCCAGATCTGGCATCCCCGCAGCCTTCCCAGGACGAGCTGCTACCTGCCAATGGCTTCCCCAGGCCAAGATCCTGACTGCCTTCCTGCCTGCATCCTGCCTCCACAGGCCCACCACCTCCCTCACAGTGGCCATTGGAGCCCAGCTTGTGCCTGTGGCAAACCTCTCCGGACCCAGCTCTCACCTCACGCTGGTCTCGGTCTCAGCCCATGTCCTCCCTCGCAGCGGCCTTCCTCAGCCCAGCTCGCCTATCACGGTCTCTCCCAGGCCAGCTCCTGACTCTTGGCGGCCTGTCCAGGCCCGAAGGTTCCTCTCCGGGCCCGGCCTCCCCAGGCCCGGCTTCTGCCTGCACCAGGCCCCTACGGGCCCAGCCTCCACCTTTCAGTGGACCCTCCAGGCCAAGCTCGTGGCATCACCGTGGCCTCTGCTCAGGCCAGCTTCTGCCTCTGTGACAGCCTGTATCCACAGGCCCCACCCCCGGCCTCCCCATGGCCCCATCAGGCCAAGCCGGTGCATCCCGGTGGTCCTCCAGGCCCTGCATTGGCCTGCTGACATCCTCCCTGGGCCCAGAACGACTTGAGGTAGGCCTCTGAGAGCCTAGCTCCACCTCTTGGCAGCGTCTATGGGCCCAACTTCCGAATTTGCCTCGCAACAACCTCTTTGGACTCCTGTCCAGCTCCCGACAGCTGTTGTAGGCCCGAAAGCTCAGACCATCGACTCAGGCTCTCCAGGCCCACCTGGCTCATGCTTCACACTGGCCCAGCTCCTGCCCTCCTGGTATCTCCTCCCCATGGGCACAAAACATCACGTGGGCCCTGCCAGGGCCAGATCCTGCCTACCAAAGGCCCCCTGGGCCCAGCTCCTGCCTCCTATCAGCCTATCTGGGAGGTCCGGCCTATGTCTTCTTTCTGGCGGACTCCCCAGACCCGGATCCTCCTCCTGGCCACGTCTTCTGGCCCACGTCCTGCCTCCCGGCAGCTTTTTTAGGCTCGGCCGCTGGCCAGCTTCCAGTGGCCTTTCATCTCTCGGCCGGAAGCGTTCTGAAGTGGGGCTTTCTGGGCCTCCGTTCTGCCTCCTGGTGGCCTTGACAGGCCCTGCTACCGTCTGACATTGGCCCTTCGAAATCCAGCTCTGGACTACTCATAGCCCTCCCAGCAGCAGCTGCTAGCTGCTGGCGGCTTCCCCAGGACAAGATTCTGCCTTCCTGCCGGCCTGCCTCCTTCCTCCACAGGCCCAGCACCTCCCTCACACTGGCCCATTGGAGCCCAGCCCTTGGCTATGGAAAACCTCTGTAGACCCAGCTCTCACCTCATGCAGGCCTCGGTCCTCCCTTGCAGCGGCCTTCCTCAGCCCAGCTCACCTGTCACGGTCTCTCCCAGACCAGCTCCTGCCTCCCAGCGGCCTGTCCAGGCCCAAAGCTTCCTCTCCGGGCTTGGCCTCTACAGGCCTGGCTTCTGCCTGCACCAGGCCCCACTGGGCCTAGCCTCCACTTTTCAGTGGACCCTCCAGGCCCAGCTCGTGGCATTACCATGGTTGCTCAGGTCCCGCTCCTGCTTCTGTGGCAGGCTGTATCCACAGGCCTTACCCCCGGCCTTCCCATGGCCCCCTCGGGCCAAGCCAGTGCATCCCGGTGGTCGTCCTGGGCCCAGCGTTGGCCTTCTGGCATCCTGTCCGTGTCCGGAACGTCTTCAGGTCAGCTTCTTGGGGCCCAGCTCCTCCTCACCGCGGCATCTGCAGGCCCAACGTGCGAATTTGCCTCGCAGCAACCTCTGTGGACTCGGCTCCTGCCCAGCTTCCAGCGGCGTTTGTAGGCCAGAAAGCTCAGACCATCGACTCAGACTCTCCAGGCCCACCCTGCTCATGCCTCACGAGTGGCCTCTCCAGGCTCGGCTCCTGCCCGCCAAGGGCATCTCCAGGCCCCAGACGTTCCCGAGTCGGCCTCTGCCGACCCGGCTCCTGCTGCCTCCTCCTCCTGGCCTCGGGAGGCCCAAGCATTGGGTCCTGAAGTCGGCCTCTCCAGGCCCAGCTCCTGCTCTCCTGGTGTCTCCTCCTCACGGGTGCAAAACATCCTCACATGGGTGCCTCCAGGGCCAGCTGCTGCCTCCCAACGGCCCACTGGGGCCCAGCTTCTGCCTCCCCTCTGCCTCTCCGGGAGGTCCAGCCTATGCCTCCCTTCTGGCGGCCTCCCCAGATCCTCCTCCTGGCCTCGTCTACTGGACCACGTCCTGCCTCCCGGCAGCTGCTTTTTGTTCGGCTCCTGACCAGCTTCCAGCGGCCTTTCTTCTGTAGGCCCGAAGCTTTCTCAAGTGGGGCTTTCTGGGCCTCCATTCTGCCTTCTGGTGGCCTTGACAGGCCCTGCCACCACCTGACATTGGCCCCTCCGGGCCCAGCTGTGGACTCTCTACAGACTCCCCAGCCCCAGCTGCTGCCTGCTGGTGACTTCCCCAGACCCAGATTCTGCCTGCCTGCCTGCATTCTGGCTGCATCCACAGGCCCAGCGCCCCCCTCACAGTGGCCCATTGGGGCCCAGCTCGTGCTTGTGGCAAAGCTCTCCGGTCCCAGCTCTCGCCTCACTCTTGCCTTGAGTCTATGCCCAGGCGCTCCCTCTCAGGGGTCTTCCTCAGCCCAGCTCGCCTGTCACGGACTCTCCCGGGCGAGCTCCTGCCTCCCGGCAGCCTGTCCAGGCCCAAAGCTTTCTCTCCGGGCCCGTCCTCCCCAGGTTCAGCTCCTGCCTGCGCCAGCCCCATACCGGGCCCAGCCTCCGCCTTTCAGTGGACCCTTTGGGCCTAGCTGGTGGCATCGCCATGGCCTGTGCTCAGGCCCAGCTCCTGCCTCTGTGGCAGCCTGTATCCCCAGGCCCCGCCTCCAGCCTCCTTGTGGCCCCATCGGGCCAAGCCGGTGCCTCCCGGTGGCCCTCCCGGGCCCAGCATTGGCCTGCTGGCATCCTCTTAGGGCCCAGAACGTCTTCAGGTAGGCCTTTTGGGGCCCAGCTCCTCCTCTTGGCCGTGTCTACGGGCTCAACTCTTGAATTTGCCCCGCAGCCACCTCTGGGGACTCGGTTCCTCCCCAGCTCCTGGCGGCCTTTGTAGGCCCGAAAGCTCAGGCCCTCGACTCAGGCTCTCCAGGCACACGCAGCTCATGTCTCACACTGGCCTCTCCAGGCTAGGCTCCTGCCCTCCAAGGGCATCTCCAGGCCTCAGATGTTCCCGAGTCTGCGTCACCTGGCCCGGCTCCTGCTACCTCATCCTGCTGGCCTCGGGAGGTTCAAGCATTGGGTCCCGAAGTCCATCTCTGCAGGCCCAGCTTCTGCCTTCCCAGCGGCCCTTCAATACTGGCGCAATAAGTCGTCATGTTGGCTTCTCCAGGACAAGCTCCTGCCTCCGAGCGGCCACCTTGGACACAGCTCCTGCCTTCCGTCATCCTCTTCGGGAGGCCCAGCCTCTGCCTCCCTCCTGGCGGCCCCCGCACTATCGGATCGTCCTCCTGGCTGCATCTACCGGCGGACGTTTTCCCCCCTGGCAGCCTCTTTAGGCTCAGCTCCTGGCCAGCTCCCCATGGCCTTTCGTCTGTCTGCCCGCAGCTTCCTCGGGACTTTCAGGGTGTCCCTTCTGCCTCCCGGTGGCCTCCACAGGCCCAGATACATCCTGACATCAGCCTCTCCATGCCCAGTTCTGGCCCCCCCTACGGCACCCCCAGCACCATCCACTGTCTGCCGACCGCTTCCCCAGGTTAAGATCCTGCCTACCTCCGGACTTCATCACACAAACCCAGCGCCTCCCTCACACTGGCCAGTTGAGGCCCAGCTTGGCCTCTAGCAGATGTCTCTGGAGCCAGCTCCTGCCAGGTGCTGGCCCTGAGTCTGGGCCCAGGTCCTCCCTCGCACCGGCGTTTCTTGGCCCAGCTAGCCTCTCATAAACTCTCCGGCCAGCTCCTGCCGTCCAGCGGCCTGTCCAGGCCCAAAGCTTCCTCTCCGGGCCCGGCCTCTCCAGGCCTGGCTGCTGCCTGCCACAGGCCCCTCTGGGCCCAGGCTCCACTTCTCAGTGGACCCTCCAGGCCCAGCTCGTGGCATTACCATGGTTGCTCAGGTCCCGCTCCTGCTTCTGTGGCAGGCTGTATCCACAGGCCTTACCCCCGGCCTTCCCATGGCCCCGTCGGGCCAAGCCAGTGCATCCCAGTGGTCGTCCTGGGCCCAGCGTTGGCCTTCTGGCATCCTGTCCATGTCCGGAACGTCTTCAGGTCAGCTTCTTGGGGCCCAGCTCCTCCTCACCGCGGCGTCTGCAGGCCCAACGTGCGAATTTGCCTCGCAGTAACCTCTGTGGACTCGGCTCCTGCCCAGCTTCCAGCGGCGTTTGTAGGCCAGAAAGCTCAGACCATCGACTCAGACTCTCCAGGCCCACCCTGCTCATGCCTCACGAGTGGCCTCTCCAGGCTCGGCTCCTGCCCGCCAAGGGCATCTCCAGGCCCCAGACGTTCCCGAGTCGGCCTCTGCCGACCCGGCTCCTGCTGCCTCCTCCTCCTGGCCTCGGGAGGCCCAAGCATTGGGTCCTGAAGTCGGCCTCTCCAGGCCCAGCTCCTGCTCTCCTGGTGTCTCCTCCTCACGGGTGCAAAACATCCTCACATGGGTGCCTCCAGGGCCAGCTGCTGCCTCCCAACGGCCCACTGGGGCCCAGCTTCTGCCTCCCCTCTGCCTCTCCGGGAGGTCCAGCCTATGCCTCCCTTCTGGCGGCCTCCCCAGATCCTCCTCCTGGCCTCGTCTACTGGACCACGTCCTGCCTCCCGGCAGCTGCTTTTTGTTCGGCTCCTGACCAGCTTCCAGCGGCCTTTCTTCTGTAGGCCCGAAGCTTTCTCAAGTGGGGCTTTCTGGGCCTCCATTCTGCCTTCTGGTGGCCTTGACAGGCCCTGCCACCACCTGACATTGGCCCCTCCGGGCCCAGCTGTGGACTCTCTACAGCCTCCCCAGCCCCAGCTGCTGCCTGCTGGTGACTTCCCCAGACCCAGATTCTGCCTGCCTGCCTGCCTGCCTGCGTTCTGGCTGCATCCACAGGCCCAGCGCCCCCCTCACAGTGGCCCATTGGGGCCCAGCTCGTGCTTGTGGCAAAGCTCTCCGGTCCCAGCTCTCGCCTCACTCTTGCCTTGAGTCTAGGCCCAGGCGCTCCCTCTCAGGGGTCTTCCTCAGCCCAGCTCGCCTGTCACGGACTCTCCCGGGCCAGCTCCTGCCTCCCGGCAGCCTGTCCAGGCTCAAAGCTTTCTCTCTGAGCCCGTCCTCCCCAGGCCCAGCTCCTGCGTATGCCAGGCCCATACCGGGCCCAGCCTCCGCCTTTCAGTGGACCCTTTGGGCCTAGCTGGTGGCATCACCGTGGCCTGTGCTCAGGCCCAGCTCCTGCCTCTGTGGCAGCCTGTATCCCCAGGCCCCGCCTCCAGCCTCCCCGTGGCCCCATCGGGCCAAGCCGATGCCTCCCGGCGGCCGTCCCGGGCCCAGCATTGGCCTGCTGGCATCCTCTCCGGGCCCAGAACATCTTCAGGTAGGCCTTTTGGGGCCCAGCTCCTCCTCTTGGCCGTGTCTACGGGCTCAACTCTTGAATTTGCCCCGCAGCCACCTCTGGGGACTCGGTTCCTCCCCAGCTCCTGGTGGCCTTTGTACGCCCGAAAGCTCAGGCCCTCGACTCAGGATCTCCAGGCACACCCAGTTCATGTCTCACACTGGCCTCTCCAGGCTAGGCTCCTGCCCTCCAAGGGCATCTCCAGGCCTCAGATGTTCCCGAGTCTGCGTCACCTGGCCCGGCTCCTGCTACCTCATCCTGCTGGCCTCGGGAGGTTCAAGCATTGGGTCCCGAAGTCCATCTCTGCAGGCCCAGCTTCTGCCTTCCCAGCGGCCCTTCAGTATTGGCACAAGAAGTCGTCACATTTGCTTCTCCAGGACAAGCTCCTGCCTCCGAGCGGCCCCCTGGGACACAGCTCCTGCCTTCCGTCATCCTCTTTGGGAGGATGCCTCTGCCTCCCTCCCTCCTGGCAGCCCCCGCACAATCGGATCGTCCTCCTCCTGCTTCTACCGGCGGACGTTTTTCCCCCTGCAGCCTCTTTAGGCTTAGCTCCTGGCCAGCTCCCCATGGCCTTTCGTCTGTCAGCCCGAAGCTTCCTCGGGTATTTCGGGGTGTCCCTTCTGCCTCCCGGTGGCCTCCACAGGCCCAGATATATCCTGACATCGGCCTCTCCATGCCCAGTTGTGGCCTCCCTACGGCACCCCCAGCACCATCCACTGTCTGCCGACCGCTTCCCCAGGTTAAGATCCTGCCTACCTCCGGACTTCGTCACACAAACCCAGCGCCTCCCTCACACTGGCCAGTTGAGGGCCAGCTTGGCCTCTAGCAGATGTCTCTGGAGCCAGCCCTTGCCTGGTGCTGGCCCTGAGTCTGGGCCCAGGTCCTCCCTCGCACTGGCGTTTCTCGGCCCAGCCAGCCTCTCATAAACTCTCCGGCCAGCTCCTGCCTCCCAGCGGCCCGTCCAGGCCCAAAGCTTCCTCTCCGGGCCCAGCCTCTCCAGGCCTGGCTTCTGCCTGCACCAGGCCCCTCTGGGCCCAGCCTCTACTTTTCAGTGGACCCTCCATACCCAGCTCGTGGCCTCATTGTGGCCTCCGCTCAGCCCAGCTCCTGCCTCTGTGGCAGCCTGTCTCCACGGTTTCAGCTCTTGGCCTTCTGGTGGCTCCCTCGGACCAAACCAGTACCCCCAGGCGGCCCCCCGTGCCCAGTGTTGGGCTTCTGGCATCCTCTCCTTGTCCAGAATTTCTACAGGTCATCTGCTTGACATTGGCTTTTAAGGGCCAACCTTCCAGTCTCGCCTTGCATCAGCCTCTGTGGACTCATCTCCTTTCCAGCTCCCGGAGGCCTTTGTAGAACTGAAAGCTCCGGCCCTTGAATGAGGCTCTCCAGGACTACCCAGCTCATGCCTCACGCTAGCCTCTCCAGGCTCAGCTTCTGCCCACCCAGGCTGCCTGTAGGCCCCAGATGTCCTAGAGTCGGCTTCTCCAGATGTCCCAGAGTCGGCTTCTCCAGGCCCAGCTTCAGACTCCTCCTTTTGGCCTCTGCAGGCCCAAGCATTGTGTTCTCAATTCAGCCTCTTCAGGCCCTGCTCCAGTTCTCCTGGCGTCTCCTCCCCATGGGCGCAAAACGTCGTCACCTGGGCCCTACTAGTGTCACCTCGTGCCTCCCAAAGGCCCTCTGTGCTTAGCTCCTACCTCCCATCAGCCTCTCCTGGACACCCAGCCTCCGCCTTCCTACTGGTGGCCTATCCAGGCCTGGATCCTCCTCCTGGCCACATCTAAGGGCCCAGGTTTTGCCCCCGGCAGCCTTTTTTGTTTGTTTGTTTGTTTTCTTAGTTGGAGTTTGGCTCTTGTTACCCAGGCGCGAGTGCAATGGTGTGATCTCGGCTCACCTCAACCTCCGCCTCCTGGGTTCAGGCAATTCTCCTGCCTCAGCCTCCTGAGTGGCTTGGATTACAGGCATGCGCAACCATGCCTAGCTAATTTTTTGATTTTTTTTTTTTTTCAGATGGAGTTTCGCTCTTGTTACCCAGGCCGGAGTAGACTGGCACTCTCTTGGCTCACTACAACCTCCACCTCCTGGGTTCAGGAAATTCTCCTGCCTCAGCCACCTGAGTAGCTGGGATTACACGCAGGCACCACCGTGCCCAGCTGATGTTTTTTTTTTTTGAGACAAAGTTTCGCTGTTGTTGTCCAGGCTGGAGTGCAATGGTTTTACCTCTGCTTACCACAACCTCCGCCTCCTGGGTTCAGGCAATTCTCCTTCAGCCTCCTGAATTGCTGGGATTACAGGCATGCGCCACCATGCTCAGCTAATTTTTGTATTTTTAGTAGAGATGGGGTTTCACCATGTTGATCAGGATGGTCTCGATCTCCTGACCTCGTGATCCACCCACCTCGGCCTCCCAAAGTGTTGGGATTACAGGCCTGAGCCACCACGCCTGGTCCCCAGCAGCCTCTTTTGGCTACGCTCCTGGCCAGCTCCTGGCAGCCTTTCGTCTGTCGTTCCGAAGCTTCCTCAGGTGGGGCCTTCCAGGCGTCCCTTCTGCCTCCTGGTGGCCTCAACAGAAGGGACACCCAGAAGGCCCCACCTGAGGAAGCTTCGGGCAGACAGACAAAAGGCCGCCAGGAGCTGGCCAGGAGCCAAGCCAAAAGAGGCTGCCGGGGGCAAAACTTGGGCCCGTAGATGTGGCCAGGAGGAGGTTCCAGGCCTGGTGAGGCTGCCAGTAGGGAGGCAGAGGCTGGGCCTCCTGGAGAGGCCACCTGATGGGAATCAGGACCTGGGCCCCAGGGGGTCACTGGGACGCAGGAGCTGGCCCTGGAGGGCACCACGTGATGATGTATTACGCCCAAGTTGGGGGGTGCGGCCGGGAGGGCAGGAGCTGGACCTGCAGACGCGGACTTCATGACCCAATGCTTGGGCCTCCCGAGGCCAGCGGGAGGACAAAGCAGAACTGGGCCTCAGGGCCGGGCTCTGGACTCCCCGCAGCCTCCCCAGCCCCAGCTGCTGCCTGCTGGCTGCTTCCGCAGGCCAAGATCTTGCCTGCCTGCCCGCCTGCATCCCGGCTGCATCCACAGGACCAGCGCCTCTCTCAGACTGGCCCGTTGAGGCCCAATTCATGCCTCTGAAAGACATCTCTGGAGCCAGGTCTTGCCTGGTGCTGGCCTTGAGTCTGGGCCCAGGTCCTCCCTTGTACCAGCCTTTCTTGGCCCAGCTCGTCTTTCATAAACTCTCCGGCCAGCTCCTGCCTCCCAGTGGCCTGTGCAGGCCCAAAGCTTCCTCTCCGGGCCCGGCCTCTCCAGGCCTGGCTTCTGCCTGTGCTAGGACCCTCGGGGCCCAGCCTCCGCCTCACAGTGGACCCTCCAGACCCAGCTCGTGGCCTCCGCTCAGCCCAGCTCCTGCCTCTGTGGCAGCCTGTCTCCACAGGCCCAGCTTCTGGCCTCCTGGTGGCCCCCTCAGGCCAAACAGGTGCCCTCAGGTGGCCCTCCTGGGAGTTTCACTCGTTACTCAGAGTGGAGTAGAATGGCGCGATCTTGGCTCACCTCAACCTCCGCCTCCTGGGTTCGGGCAATTCTCCTGCCTCAGCCTGCTGAGTAGCTGGGATTACAGGCACGTGCCCAGCATTGGCCTTCTGGCATCCTCTCCTCGTCCAGAATGTCTTCAGGTCAGCCTCTTGGGGCCCAGCCCCTCCTTCCAGCGGCTTCTAAGGGCCAACCTTCCGGTCTCCCCTCGCAGCAACGTCTGTGGACTCGGCTCCTCCCCAGCTCCCAGAGGCCTTTGTAGACCTGAAAGCTCAGGCCCTCGACTCAGGCTCTCCAGGACTACCCGGCTCATGCCTCACACTGGCCTCTCCAGGCTCAGCTTCTGCCCACCCAGGCTGCCTGTAGGCCCCAGATGTCCCAGAGTCGGCTTCTCCAGGCCCGGCTCCGGACTCCTCCTATTGGCCTCTGCAGGCCCAAGCATTGGGTTCTCAATTTGGCCTCTCCAGGCCCAGCTTCAGTTCTCCTGGCATCTCCTCCCCGTGGGTGCAAAACATCATCACGTGGGCCCTTCTAGGGCCAGCTCATGCCTCCCAAAGTGCCCCTGGGCTTAGCTCCTGCCTCCCATCAGCCTCTCCTGGAGGCCCATCCTCTGCCTCCATACTGGCGGCCTCTCCAGGCCGGGATCCTCCTCCTGGCCACGTCTACAGGCCCAGGTTTTACCCCCGGCAGCCTCTTTTTTTTTTTTTTTTTTTTTTTTTTTGAGTGTCTTCTTACTCAGGCGCGAGTACAATGGTGTGATCTCGGCTCACCGCAACCTCCGCCTCCTGGGTTCAGGCAATTCTCCTGCCTCAGCCTCCTGAGTAGCTGGGATTACAGGCACGCAGCACCATGCCCAGCTAATTTTTTTTTTTTTTTTTTTTTTTTTTGAGACGGAGTTTCGCTCTTGTTGCCCAGGCTAGAGTGCAATGGCTCGGTCTCGGTTCACCGCAACCTCCGCCTCCCAGGTTCAGGCAATTCTTTTGCTTCAGCCTGCTGAGTAGCTGGGATTACAGGCACACGCCACCATGCCTAGCTAATTTTTTGTATTTTTAGTAGAGATGGGGTTTCACAATGTTGACCAGGATGGTCTCGATCTGACCGTGTGATCCACCCGCCTTGGCCTCCCAAAGTGCTGGGATTACAGGCCTGAGCCACCGCGCCTGGTCCCCAACAGCGTCTTGTGGCTCGGCTCCTGGCCAGCTTCCAGAGGCTTTTCGTCTGTCAGCCCGAAGCTTTCTGAGGTGGGGCCTTCTGGGTGTCCCTTCTGTTGAGGCCACTGGGAGGCAGAAGGGATGCCCAGAAGGCCCCACCTGAGGAAGCTTCGGGCCGACGGACGAAAGGCCGCCAGGAGCTGGTCAGGGGTCGAGCCAAAAGAGACTGCTGGGGGCAAAACTTGGGCCCATAGACGTGGCCGGGAGGAGGTTCCAGGCCTGGTGAGGCTGCTAGTACGGAGGCAGGGGCTGGCCCTCCTGGAGAGGCCACCTGATGGGAATTAGGACCTGGGCCCCAAGGGGCCACTGGGACGCAGGACCTGGCCCTGGAGGGGACCACGTTGATGATGTATTGCGCCCATGTTGGGGGGTGCCGCCGGGAGGGCAGGAGCTGGACCTGCAGACGCGGACTTCATGACCCAATGCTTGGGCCTCCCAAGGCCAGCAGGAGGACAAAGCAGGACTGGGCCTCAGGGCCGGGCTCTGGACTCCCCGCAGCCTCCCCAGCACCAGCTGCTGCCTGCTGGCTGCTTCCGCAGGCCAAGATCTTGCCTGCCTGCCTGCCTGCATCCCGGCTGCATCCACAGGCCCAGTGCCTCCCTCACACTGGCCAGTTGAGGCCCAATTCATGCCTCTGAAAGACGTCTCTGGAGCCAGCTCTCGCCTCGTGCTGGCCTTGAGTCTGGGCCCAGGTCCTCCCTCACACCGGCCTTTCTTGGCCCAGCTCGTCTCTCATAAACTCTCCGGCCAGCTCCTGCCTCCCAGCGGCCTGTCCAGGTCCAAAGCTTTGTCTCCAGGCCCGGCCTCTCCAGGCCCGGCTTCTGCCTGTGCTAGGCCCCTCCGGGCCCAGGTTCCACCTCTCAGTGGACCCTCCAGACCCAGCTCGTGGCCTCATCGTGGTCTCCGCTCAGCCCAGCTCCTGCCTCTGTGAGAGCCTGTCTCCACAGGCCCAGCTCCTTGCCTCCCGGTGGCCCCCTCAGGCCAACCCGGTGCCCACAGAAGGATCTCCCGTGCTTAGCATTGGCCTTCTGGCATCCTCTCCTTGTCCAGAATGTCTTCAGGTCAGCCTCTTGGGGCCCAGCCCCTTCTTCCGGCGGCTTCTAAGGGCCAACCTTCCGTTCTTGCCTCGCAGCAACGTCCGTGGACTCAGCTCCTCCACAGCTCCCGGAGGCCTTTGTAGGCCCGAAAGCTCAGGCCCTCGACTCGGGCTCTCCAGGACTACCCGGCTCATGCCTCACACTGGCCTCTCCAGGCTCAGCTTCTGCCCACCCAGGGTGCCTCTAGGCCCCAGATGTCCCAGAGTCGGCTTCTCCAGGCCCGGATTCGGACTCCTCCTATTGGCCTCTGCAGGCCCAAGCATTGGGTTCTCAATTCGGCCTCTCTAGGCCCAGCTCCAGTTCTCCTGGCATCTCCTCCCCATGGGTGCAAAACGTCATCACGTGGGCCCTTCTAGGGCCAGCGAATGCCTCCCAAAGTCCCCTTGTGCTTAGCTCCTGTCTCCCATCAGCCTCTCCTTGAGGCCCATCTACTGCCTCAGTACTGGTGGCCTCTCCAGGCCGGGATCCTCCTCCTGGCCACCTCTACGGGTCCAAGTTTTGCCCTTGGCAGCCTCTTTTTTTTTTTTTTTGAGACGGAGTTTTGTTCATGTAACCCAGGCGCAAGTGCAATGGCGTGATCTCAGCTCACCTCAACCTACACCTCCTGGGTTCAGGCAATTCTCCTCCTTCAGCCTCCTGAGAAGCTGGGATTACAGGCACACACCACCATGCCCAGCTAATTTTTTGTTTTTTGTTTTTTTTTTTGAGACGGAGTTACACTCTTGTTACCCAGGGTGGAGTAGAATAGTGCGATCGTGGCTCACCACAACCTCCTTCTCCTGGGTTCAGGCAATTCTCCTGCCTCAGCTTCCTGAGTAGCTGGGGTTACAGGCACGCGTCACTGTGCCCAGCTACTTTTTTTTTTTTGAGACAGAGTATCGCTCTTGTTGCCCAAGCTGGAGTGCAATGGCTTGGTCTCGGTTCACCGCAACCTCCGTCTCCTGGGTTCAGGTAATTCTCCTGCCTCAGCCTCCTGAGTAGCTGGGATTACAGGCACACGCCACCATGCCCAGCTAATTTTTTGTATTTTTAGTAGAGACGGGGTTTTACCATGTTGACCAGGATGGTATCGATCTCCTGACCTCGTGAATCACCCGCCTCAGCCTCCCAAAGTGCTGGGATTACAGGCCTGAGCCACCGCGCCTGGTCCCCAGCAGCGTCTTTTGGCTACGCTCCTGGCCGGCTCCTGGCGGCCTTTTATCTGTCGGCCCAAAGCTTCCTCAGGTAGGGCCTGTCAGGCGTCCCTTCTGCCTCCCGGTGGCCTCAACAGAAGGGACACCCAGAAGGCCCCACCTGAGGAAGCTTCGGCCAACAGACGAAAGGCCGCCAGGAGCTGGCCAGGAGCCAAGCCAAAAGAGGCTGCCGGGGGCAAAACTTGGGCCCATAGACGTGCCCCGGAGGAGGTTCCAGGCCTGGTGAGGCTGCCAGTAGGGAGGCAGAGGCTGGGCCTCCTGGAGAGCCCACCTGATGGGAACCAGGACCTGGGCCCCAGGGGGCCACTGGGACGCAGGACCTGGCCCTGGAGGGGACCAAGTGATGATGTATTGTGCCCACGTTGGGGGGTGTGGCCGGGAGGGCAGGAGCTGGACCTGCAGATGCGGACTTCATGACCCAATTCTTGGGCCTCCCAAGGCCAGTGGGAGGACAAAGCAGGACTGGGCCTCAGGGCCGGGCTCTGGACTCCCCGCAGCCTCCCCAGCCCCAGCTGCTGCCTGCTGGATGCTTCCGCAGGCCAAGATCTTGCCTGCCTGCCTGTGTCCCGGCTGCATTTACAGGCCTAGTGCCTCCCTCACACTGGCCAGTTGAGGCCCAATTCATGCCTCTGAAAGACATCTCTGGAGCCAGCTCTCACCTGATCCTGGCCTTGAGTCTGGGCCCAGGTCCTCCCTCGCACCAGCCTTTCTCCATGCAGCTCACCTGTCACGGACTCTTCCGGGCCAGCTCCTGCCTCCCGGCAGCCTGTCCAGGCCCAAAGCTTCCTCTCTGGACTCAGCCTCTTCACACCGGGCTCCTTCCTATGCTGGGCCCCTCTGGGCCCAGCCTCTGCTTCTCAGAGGACCTTTCAGACCCAGCTTCTGTCTTTGTGGCAGCCTGTTTCCACAGCTTCAGCCCCTAGCCTCCTCATAGACCCCTGGGAGGCAGTGGCTCAGCCCTGCCAGGCCCAGGGTTGGCCTACTGGCATTTTCTTTGTGTCCAGAACGTCTTCAGATAGGCCTCTCGGGGCCCAGCGCCTCCTCTCGACAGCATCTAACGGCCCAACTTCTGAATCTGCCTCGCAGCAACCTCTATGGACTCGGCTCCTGCCCAGCTCCCGACGGCCTTTGTAGGCCGGAAAGCTCAGACTATTGACTCTGGCTTTCCAGGCCCACCCGGCTGATGCCTCACAAGTGGCCTCTCCAGGCTCGGCTCCTGCCCTCCGAGGGCATCTCCAGGCCCCAGATGTTCCCGAGTCGGCTTCTATCAGCCTGGCTCCTGCTGTCTCCTCCTGCTGGCCTCGGGAGGCCCAAGCATTGGGTCCTGAAATCAGCCTCTGCAGGCTTAGCTCCTGCCCTCCTGGTGTCTCCTCCCCATGGGTGCAAAACACCCTCACATGGGTGCCTCCAGGGCCAGCTGCTGCCTCCCAACGGCCCCCTGGGGCCCAGCTGCTGCCTCCCTTCAGCCTTTCTGGGAGGTCCAGCCCGTGCCTCCCTTCTCGCGGCCTCCCTAGGCCCGGATCCTCTTCCTGGCCTCGTCTACTGGACCACGTCCTGCCTCCCGGCAGCTGCTTTGCTCTGGGCTCCTGACCAGCTTCCAGTGGCCTTTCTTCTGTAGGCCCGAAGCTTTCTCAAGTGGGGATTTCTGGGCCTCCGTTCTGCCTCCTGGTGGCCTTGACAGGCCCTGCTGCCACCTGACATTGGCCCCTTCCGGGCCCAGCTCTGGACTCTCTACAGCCTCCCCAGCACCAACTGCTGCCTGCTGGCGGCTTCTTCAGACCAAGATCCTGCCTGCCTATCGGGGACATTAGGCCAAGGCAAGGAGACTGAAAGGGCCTCTGCAGCCATCTTTTCCCTCGGGCAGAATCATGAGGCAGCAGTGTGGGTCCTTGTGTGGTTGACACTCCCCATCTTGCCCTGCAGAGGCCGGACTTCACAGACGCCATCATTCTCCGGAAAGGGGTCTCTGGAGCACGTGGTGAGTTGACAAGACCTGCCCTAACAAAGGGTGGGAGCTCTGTGTGCCCTTCGGAGCTCTGTTTTGCCTGAGGTGCCCTGGGCCAGGGGTGGGCTTTGCTGGTCTGAATCAGGTGCTGACATACAGGCTCTGGAGTTGGACGGTCTGGGACTGCATCTGCCACACCCCTTCCTAGCCATGTGCTGTGCCTCCAACCTCTCCTGTAAGGGGGGATGTGCTGCCTGGCCCCTGGGTAGTCAGGAAGACACGTTGGTTGAAGTCCAGCACGTAGGGCACTCGGCACGCTGCCTGTAGTGCATAGATGCCAGTAACCCTGCTCCCATGCCATTCAGGCGTCAGTCAAGGAGTGGGGAGTGGCACTAGCTCAACACGGAAGTCAGGACAGAGGTTTTGAGGAGGCCACCTGAGCTGGCCTGTAGAATTAGCAGGTCTGACAGTGAAGAGTTGGGGTGGGGAGCATCCCAGATAGGGGAGCGGGCATGCACAGGCCCCAGAGGAGGTGCTCTGGACTCAGGGAGCACGAGGCTGCCTTTCTCTGTCCAGAATTCTGTCACTTGCACATGACCCTGCAGGCACCGGTGGTGGCCAAGTGTTGGGTCACATGGCCATCCTTCTGGGCTGTTGCTCTCCCAGGTGTTATTTTTCTCAAGCTGATTTCTTCTTGGGATCTGTATTATGGAAGCAAGGGACACTGTAGGCCTAGCTGTTTCTCTAGCCCCTTATGATAGTGGTGGCTGGGCTTGCAGTCTGGTCTCATGCATTCATTCCTTCTGCAAGCCCAGCCCCAAGTCTCTGGGTGCCACCCTGGAGGTGTTGAACAAATGAGGCCACGCAAAGTCCCATCTCTCTAAGACCTAGGCTTGAGGTCACAGCAGGAGGAGCCAAGAAGACTCACGGTTACCCTCCTGAATCCCTTCAGACACTCACAAGTGGCAAGCTGAGTAAAATGTAAGACCCATTTGCCGGCCAGAATCAGCCACCTTCCCATCTCTGTCAGGGAAGTGGACCTGCAGGCCTGGCGCCACCTCTGCCCCAGGGACACTGGGCTGAGGCGTTTTGTCTCCCACTGGGGCCTGGAAGACCTGTGGGCATGTCGGGGGAGGAGCCACATCACACAATTGCAGAGTCCCTTCCCCACCGCCCTCCGCTGTCCCACCATCAGAGTGGCAACCAGAGGTCCACACTCTCAGGGCAAATGCTGGCTGCCCCTCCAGGGTCTCCTTCCATTTTCACGTGACATCTGGGACCCCTGTGACCTTCATCTCTACCAAGGAGCACTGGAGGGTGTACACTGCTCTGGGAGTTGGGGGTGATGTGATATGTGGGAGGCTTCAGGTCACAGGTGGGGCCAGGAGGAGTGAGAGACAGTGTGGTCGAGCTTGGGATGGGGTTAGGGGGAGCCTCCCCTCTCTGTCTCTCTCCTGTCCTCCAGTGCCCCTGCATCCACCGGTCACTTGCCAGCCAGTTCAAGTATACCCTGGTGTGGGTAAGTGGGTGGGAAGGAGGCAGGGGGTTAGACCCAGCAGAGCCCCCAGATTAGGCGTGGAGCAAGGCATTCACATTCCTCTGCATGGTGTTCCTGTCCTTCCTGTGTGGATTGGCATGACTGTGTGTCTGTCCTCCATAGAATGTACATGCTCTCCCAGGCTGGACATGGGCCTTCCCCACCCTTTTTCTTTTATTTTTTTTTTTTTTTTTTTTTTGAGACAGGGTCTGGCTCTGTCTCCCAGGCTGGAGTGCAGTGGCACAATCGCGGCTCACTGCAGCCTTGACATTCTGTGCTCAAGCAATCCTCCCACCTCGGCGTGACAAGTAGTTGGGACTATAGGGGCACACCAGCATGCTTGGCTAATTTCTTATGGAGATGGGATCTCGCTGTCTGGCCCAAACTGGTCTGGAACTCCTGAGCTCAAGTGATCCTTGAGCTTTAATGATCCCCCCATCTTGGCCCCCAAAAGTGCTGGGATTACAGGCATTAGCCACTGTGCCTGGCCCTCCCCCACCTTTGAGGTCAGGGATGGTCAGATCACTGCAGACATCCTGCTGCCTGGGTCTCCGACCTTAGGCCAGCATTCACCCCCAGGACACACACCCCAGGGATATCTTTCTCGGCCTTGCCCTTGGCCAGTCCAGGCTGAGGTGACCCCTCTGCCCCCATTCCTCACCCAGGGCATCAGCACCGAGTACAGTCCACAGCAGGTGGGCCTGACCCACACCATGGAGCATGAGGAGGTCATCCAGAATGTGAAGAAGTAATGGAGCCTGCCAGGCCTCCCGCCCACCTGCCTCATATCCCTGGGGGTGTCGGTCTTACTGGGACACACAAACACCCAAACAAAAATACAAATACACACACCCCAGGAAGGGGTCCCTCAAGTCTCTGCTATTTCCAGAAGTTTCTTCAGTAGGCAGATGAAGAGTGCGTTGGGCAGAGGGGTTCAGCTGGAGGCATTTTCCATAAGACTGAGGCTTCTCTTGGGGATTTTGAGTTTATAGTGCTGGGCCTGCATCTGTTCCCCCAGCCCCTGCGCTGAGGGAGCAAGCTGCCCACCTGCCTGCCAGCCGGGGCCCGAAGCAGATGGCATGCTCAGTGCCAGGCGGGAAGCTGGGCCTGCCTGGGTCCCTGGAGGCTGTGGCTGCTGTTATAGCATCTCTCTCCCTCAGCTCCTGCCGGCTTCTCTGACACTTGGGGTGGGGGCCCTTCCAGGAAGAAACCCCCTTGGGTCCTCCACTCAAGGCTCTCCAGGATTGGAAGCAGAGGTTAGTGGCTTCAAAGGCCCAGCTGACACCCTCTACAGCCTAAGGGGTGTCCTAAAGTGCCTCCCCCTCTCTGACCCTCCCAGGGCAGCCCCTGCCCAGCAGAAAACCCTGGGACCCTGGCTCTACACGCCTGGGCCAGGGACTTTTGAGTTTAGACTCTGTTTTCGAAGTCCCCAGTTCTCCTGGCTCTCCTTTCTGGAATAAAGGATTGAATTCCTGTCCTGGACATTCCTGTCCAGACTGAGAACACTTTGTAACCTTGCTGAACAGTAGCCAGGTTGAGTCAGGTGGGCACAGGTCAAGTATTGAGGGTAGCAGTGGGCCTGGGAGTTGGAGAGGGTGGAGGCTGGATCCTCAGGGCAGCCCCAGGCCATGGGTGGCAAGGAGAATGCAGGGTCCCTCAGCCAGGCATGGGCAGGCTCTGCCCAGGGAGTTGGTCATGGGTGTCAGGCCCAGACTGGCCCCTCCAGATGGGCCTGGCTGCCAAGGTAGGCAGCATCCCAGGAGGCCCTTGTGACCATCTGGGTGGCAGGGAGGCTCCCCCGTGAGAACAAGGTGGCTGATCATTTCCTTTTGCCTCAGAAGCCAGAAGCAGAGGGGCTGGCAGGGGCTCGATGAGTACCTACAATGTGCCAGGGACAGTGCCAGGCCCCCCACAGTATTCTGCTGTCCCTTGGAAGCTGGTGCAGGTTGCACAGTTTTTGAATGCAGAGCCTAGATGTAAGACCTCTGAGCAGCAGGGAAGGCTTCCTGGAGGAGGTGTGCCTTTTGGGAGGGATGCAGCAGGTTCTGTGAGGCTGTCAGGAGAGGTAGAGAGCTCCAGGGGGCCTTGGGCCCAGCTGGAGTGTGGTGCAGGCCCAGGCCCAGCTCCTGGGCTGTTTGCAGCTCAGCTGTCAGCTGCTCAGTCCTTTCCAGAGATAAAACAGGAATAATAAACATGATTAAATATACATAGGGCCCCAGGCGGTTGGCCTGGTGGGCTGGGCCTCCCTTCCCCGTAACACAGAGCTGCTCTGCTGGGCCGATCGTGCTCCTGGGCCAGCCAGAGGACCCCCATGAGGCGGCGTGCAGGCTAGGAGCAGGCTGTGGGACCCAGGTAAGGGGACCCTAGCCTAGAGTCCTTGGGGTTGGCCACTAGCTACCCTCCCATCCCAGGCTGCAGGGCAGCAGCAGAGCTGGGGCCTTGCCCCTAACTCACCTTGAGGCCCTTCGCTGCCTCACTTTGTTCATCTGTGAACAAAGTGCCCACCTGCCTGCCAGCCGGGGCCCGAAGCAGATGGCATGCTCAGTGCCAGGCGGGAAGCTGGGCCTGCCTGGCTCCCTGGAGGCTGTGGCTGCTGTTATAGCATCTCTCTCCCTCAGCTCCTGCCGGCTTCTCTGACACTTGGGAGAAGCAGCCCCCTCCTGGTGATGGTGGGATACCAAGACAGGCAAGGGCTCCTTGGCCCCTCTCCCAACAGCCCTGATGCCTGGCCATGAGGCCCTGAGGGTTTCTACCTGGGTATTGACCATTCCCACTTCCACTTTACAGGCAAGGGCTCTAGCCCTGGGTGAGGTGGGGAAGGCTCTGAGTTCACACAGTGTCAGGCTGAGTCCAGGCCTTGGATTAGATCCAGGCCTATTCTGTCCCCCTGGCTGGCTGACAAAGGGGGAAAATGAGGCCAGAGGCTGGGGGGTCCTCAGGCAGCGAGGGCTCGGGTGAGAGGCTCCTGCCACTGGGCTGCCTGTTCCTGGGCTAGGTCTGTTGTGCATGGGGGTCAGGCAGGCAGTACAGCTCTGTTGTGTCCTGGGCTTTCTGGATCTGTGGGCAGGATGGTTGTACGGTCTACATTTGCATGTGAGAGAGTGAGCGAGAGATCATGGAGCTGTGTATGCCCAGGTCAGTGTGAAGTGGCAGTTCGTGGTGCCCTTAGGGCTGGAGGGAAGCTCCGTAAGACCCCCTCAGAGGTCCCAGACCCCCCCCCCCCCCACCTTAACCTGGGCGAGCTAGAGGCTTGGGCCTCACCCTGTCAGCCACCTTGTTCTCATCACTCATGCTCCCTGGCAATCACAGGCAGGGGTATGCACCCTCACGCAGGCCATGCCCAGGCAGCAGAGCTGCACTCAACTCCCAGCTGGCATCCCTGCAGCCTCCTGGGGGTCATCTGCCCACAGCTTTAGAAGAATCAGGTACAAAGGAGCCAAAGAAATGCATATTCTTCTGTCCCATGCCTGTTCATTCGCTCATTCTCCATCTTTCT